TCTACCGTCGGTACATAAGGCGGAGAGCTGTCGACGCCACGTACAATACTACTGCGCAATAATAAAACGATTATCCTGTCAAATGCTTCTCTTTGATTCAGACCTCCCCGAATGTTATGCTTTTTTCAGAAACCCCAAAGGCAAATTGTAGAAGGGAAGACATACATTTTAAAAAATGATGATGATGATGACGATGATGATGATGATGATGATGATGATGATGATGATGATGATGATGATGATGACAACGATGATGATGATGATGATGATGATGATGATGATGATGATGATGATGATGATGATGATGATTTCACAGTATCGATTCTTTTGTAGAGTACTTGGTATGTACTGACTAGGGCCGCATTCAAACTGAAACTCGAATATTAGCTACTCAGTCCGGGCGGCCACAATCTGCTGTGAAAAGATAACGATAAACCAAATGATCGTGTCTGGTGACACGGACGGGATCAGCGCCAAACACAGGGGAAAACTGCTGCTAAAGAGCTCGAGCGAGTGGTCAGGTTTCACGGCATCAACTGTTTGTTAGCTGAAGGCCGTGCCAAACTATTTCACTTTTTTTGGGTCTATCATAACGTCGCAGAACAAAGAAGAGATCATCAGGAGAAAAAACTCGGAGCAATACAACCATAATAATACTATTACAATCATAATAATACTATTACAATCATAATAATAATATTACAATCATCATAATAATATTACAATCATAATAATAATATTACAATCATCATAATAATATTAAGAATACGGTTGGCATTTCATCTTTTTGTTTTTAGCTGCATATTAATAAGGACGGTGTCTTGATCACCTGAGGAGAGACAAGCTACAGTAATCCAATTTGTCGAGAATTCGTGGACAATGGATCAAATAACCCAGATTTTTGTGCTACTCATCACAGTCTCTCTGTCTGGAGCGCTTGCAGGAGGTAAGGCACTAGAGACTTTTCCTTCTTATTGTTTGTAAAGTACGGTATCTATTAGGATGATTGACTCAATATATGACTGATACTATTTCATAATGTTAACAGTAATAACAGCCTAATTGACACAGTGATTTTTTTTGTTTAGATAGGTTAGGAGCAAACTAGTTCGAGTCTTTCCGTCGGGGTCAACTTTGGCTATAGAAATATATAATTTATAATAATATCCCATTAGGAATACTTAAAAAAAAAACCGACATGAATGTATGATTAAAGTAAATTAATAAGTTTGTATTAAATTTACTTGCTAGACGATAGAGTTATAATATTTTGTTAAGCAAGGGGCATATGTTTTAATTTTCTGACCCGTGTGTAGCAATTTCGTCGCAGACTAAGATTTTGTGTTTCAGCCATAGCATACTTTAATGTCATCGTCACCATATACATTAATAACTCTCTATTTCACGGACACTCACACGTACACATACGTGCACCCTAAGGCGCGCACACACACACAAATACACACACACACACACTGTGTGTGTGTGTGTGTGTGTGTGTGTGTGTGTGTGTATACACACCCCTAATGATTCATGTTTTTTTCTGTCGCTACGCTAGACGCCACAAGTGTGAACACCTTGAGGAGATTCCTGGAGACACACAAGGGAAGGGGGAGTCTTGACATCAGTGCGGTGCCTTTCCACAGCCCAGCGGGACAGGAAGTAACGAATATCGGTTGTTGTTGTTGTTGTTGTTGTTGTTGTTGTTGTTGTTGTTGTTGTTGTTGTTGTTGTTGTTGTTGTTGTTGTCAGCTGGATTCCATTTCCTCCATCGCATGTTACTCTTACACACCTCCCCTCCCCCGTTCTTACTCCTTTTCCTTATTTAGGATTAGATGAATCCACCTCTCACCAACGGGAGGTGCAGTCTAACTTAGCACGGAATAGCACATAATACTGAGATGTCATATTTTTTGGTGTGTTTCGTCTCCCGTCTTTCTTTACTCGAGCCAGAGAGCCAGAGTGGGGGGGTTTTTTTTGGGGGGTTGCTTTTTTTGGCTCATCACCTTTTATGTTCATATAAAAACACATTTCCAGTTGAGTTTTACTAAAAACACGTTGGTTAAAGGCACAGATAAGTAAATTTTCAGTTTTCAAAGACTCTCAAGCCATGGAAGTTACCAAATTTAGGCTGCCATTTTCTCGTTGATTCTACCTTTGAAACTTAGTTTCCCCACCTTGTTCAGTCGCAAATATCTCGACTTCTATTAAACATGAACGGGTATTTAATTTTATTCATCAAAAGTTATCAGACGGTGCCAATAATCCATCATGCCCCAAAATTAACGAGCCCCTGATTCCGTCCCGTTGTGACACATATTATGCTCCGCCCACCAGATAATCAGTTTGTTGCTACAATTAAACTAAAGTAAACACCAAACCCCACTTCTTTTATCCCAATTCCCAGGATCAGGCAGTCGACAAAAGCCCCGAGTACCCGAGAGGACGAATGAGGACACTGCACCTCGACGAGACAGGGTCAATGAGAAACATAATGGGAGACAGCGATTACGCGGCCAAGCAAGTGTTCGGGGACTCACACACGCAACGATTTTTTTCAAACCAGCTCTCACCAGAAGTCCAAGCATCTAGCTCTGCCTCGCAGAACAGCGGATTCCAAAATCTTGAGTTACCTCCACAGCAGGGATCATATGTTAAAGGTAAAGACAACCAAGCTTCCCCTGAACGAGACACTCAAACTCAAACAATCGACCGGTTTCAACAAAATGAAAAGGAAGGTTCTAGTCCCATGGAACGTCTTGACAATCTTCAAAGCCTCAGAGAGCAGCTGCAACGATTGCAAGACATTGTGGAAAAACTGGAACACGAACAGAGGGACGCTCTTCAACACCAAGAAAATAGGAATGATACAACACCGAAAACTGACCTTCCGCATCCGGCTGCACAGACGACCAACACTAATAATAATAACACCGCTAGACAGAACACAACTAACAAAGATGTCGGGCAATCTGGAGGTGACTACGGGAATACGGCCGGTGTGCTCAAGCCACAAAATGTTGGTGAAATCTCGTCGCCTCAAAGCAAACCCGCTTTGCAAACACCAGTATTTATCGCCGGGAATAAACCTCCCAAAGACAACAGTAGTTCTTCTCCGGAATACTCCAATCTTTTAAAAACTGAAGTGGAGGGAACCGAGGCAACCCCGGGAAGTGACGTCACTCGTCCGAGTGAATCGCCTACCCCGTCAACGCCAAAACCAGAATCGTTATTGACGCATCTGACAGATAACAAGATAAGGATTGAGATGCCCGAGTTCAATCCCGATACTGTGAACGATTTGGCCAGGGAAGAGTTCAACCCCCTGAACCCGCTGTACGGTGAGTCTCTTCTGTATCACCATCATCATCATCATCATCATCATCATCATCATCATCATCATCATCATCATCATCATCATCATCATCATCAATTGCCATATCTGCAGCAGACATCGGCGATCATGGTTCTCCATTTATTCCTTTGCTCGGATGTTCTTAAAAAAAGATACATTACCCTGATGTTTCTGCGTTTCCGATCTGTTTAGGTTCTCCAAGTAGGTTGCTGTTGGCTTACCTCTGACTCGTTTGCCTTCAATTTTGCCAGTGAGAGCTAGATGTTGAAGACTTTAATGTCTATTCAGGTGTCCCCAAAACTGCATTTGTCTTTTCCTAGTTGTTTTGTATCAATGAGCATCCCACGTGGGCTTCTTCAAGTACTACCTCAATTGATTTCTTTTGCTTCCGAGATATTCCGAGCAGTCTCCCAAGAAACCACACTTCTGAGCTTCTGTATACACCGTGCTAATTTGCAGTGCCTAGTGGGGGATCGGTGTGGTTCGCTTTCTGGCGGCTTCAGTGCACACTACAAATATGCCCCTGTACTGCCTCATACTGATCGCTCGACTTGTGGTCTAGAAAACAAACGCGTTTGTTCTTGAAGGTCATCGTCGGTTTCGTTCAGTTTGTGTCACTGGAGGAAAGTTTGGCTACCCCGGAAGACCGAACCGAACCAATTCTGCCAATGGGCACCCGGTGTAAGGAGCAGGGGTGTGTCTACGGACGTTAAAGATCCATTGATGGTCTAAAATCGATAAGAGTAAGCTACGGCCGCCTCACGGGCAAAATTCAAAATTTCCTACCAACGTAAAATGTTTAATGTGTCCTGCGCGCGCATATGACCTTATGCAGTTGCGAGCGCCATAAAACACTTACCAACAAAAATGTTTTAAAAATAGGGGGAACAAAGCCTTCTCACCATTCTCCGTACTTTGACACAATGTTTCAGCACTGACAGTAACTTAGTGATGATGGGGAAGGCGCTGTTGACCACAATGACGATGACAATGACACGACATTTTCATTCATTCCCTTACCATTTACATGTAATTTTATTGCTACCGTGGTCACAGTTGTTTTTAATGCTATGGATGATGCTGAAGAGTTCTGGTTTTATTTTTAGTCCTAATGCAATGCACGTGCATATGTTATATGTCCTGTACCACGAAATGGACAATACGCCTATAGTGAGCCAGGATAAATAAAATGATACATAATAAATTACGCTTGTATTTGTCCCAGAAGGGCACTTTGATTTACAATGGCAAACATACATATATACATACATAAATACGCAATTATAAATACGTACATACATAAATACATGCATAAATACATACATGAATACATATATAAATACATACATAAATACACAATATTACACAAGTACATAACAGTTTACAATCATGCAACTGTCGGTCTTCACAGTGCAGGGCCCTGTATTTTGAGCTAAGGTTGTCGTTTCTTGCTCAAGGACACACCCCAGTGACCACCCATCCGATCCCTGTGTCATCGACACTTGCTTGACATTACTTGAGTCTAAACTCACTACTCACTTAGCCACTGATCATGAATAATGATGTATCTGTCCATCCATTGTTCTCAGGGGTAGACCTGCAGCAGTACCTTGGTCGCCAGACAGGTCAGTATTAAAAAATACGTTTAATAAAAAAAAAAAAAGAAGCAACATCTGCGCTTCCTGAAGTGGGCTCATTTTAAGCTTTTTTTAAAAGTAAGAGTTTTACGGCACTTGCAGCACAGTTAGGTCACATAAGTGCAGAAGTTTAGAGGTTTTATAAAGAGTTACAAACACAGAAAAGAAGGAGGAGAGGTAAGGGAAATATATGTAACTCATACGTTGACTGTGAATGAATTCTAATGAGTCACCGCCTCTGCAAAATGATAAAGACTAATAAGCAACTGGGCTTTTCCATAAATGTGCATCACCTCCAAGGAGTGCTATGTGGGTGGTTGGCGGGTGCTCTGGTATGGTTTGCTTCTTCTTTCCTATTAAACATTTATCGTCCTTATCTCTCCTTCTTTTTATGTTTGTTACTCTCTTGTAACACCTCTAATCTTCGGCACATATATGTCCTTATTGTGTTGCAAGTGCTGTAAAACACTTACTTAAAAAAAGGAGGGCTAACTTTAGTTCATAGATTAGCTTCATGACTTTGATATATCATTTACCATGACGACAATCACATGCCCTCCTTCCTAACAACACATATAAATCGTCATATTGAACCAAAAAGAAATAACTCATACTAACGTTAAGCTTGATTATCATATTCATTGTCGTCTTCTTGGTTCCAACGACCTGATGCGTCTCAGAACTTTCTCTTTTTCTTTTTTTTTTTAAATTGAGTAATGAAAGAAAATGGATAAATGGAGGAAAGAAATGAGAAAGGGTTCTTTTTCAGTGGATAGGAAAGGGAGCATTGGAGGGAGTACACTGAAAGACGGAAGCGGAGCAACAGTGTGTGTGTGTGTGTGTGTGTGTGTGTGTGTGTGTGTGTGTGTGTGTGTGTGTGTGTGTGTGTGTGTGTGTGTGTGTGTGTGTGAGAGAGAGAGAGAGAGAGACAGAGAGAGAGAGACAGAGAGAGAGACAGAGAGAGAGACACAGAGAGAGAGAGAGAGAGAGAGAGAGAGAGAGAGAGAGAGAGAGAGAGAGAGAGAGAGAGAGAGAGAATAAGAGGTAACGGGAATGAGGTGGCCCCACCCTCTGCCATATCACCATCCCCTTTTTCCTCTCGTGTACTATAATATAACAAGTTGTTCAGTTGAATTTCATTTCGGACAGAGTATTGAGCGGCTATCTTTCTTCATTTATTTAACTGCTCGAAATTCCCAATTTCTGGTCTCCTCCCCAGGAAAAGGAGAAGGATTTGACCCCACCAAACTGAACACACAGCTGGCTGAGCAGGGGCTGCAAACAATAGGACGTAAGTGAAAAACTGAATGGTGAGATCAATTTTTTTTGTATATCTCTACATCTCGTCAAAACAGTATTTCTTTAATCTTATCAAGCTAAACAAAAAAAGAAAAAGAAAAAGAAAAAGAAAAAAGGAAATGGAGATCGAAACCACACTATTTTTAACGACCAGCTTACCTTTCAGGCACGTCTTTAACGGCCACACTTGCTCGAACAACCACCTGTCTAAAAAAAATGGTGAAATGGTATGGGTTTAACGCCCCTGTCAACACTATTTGGTTATTTAAGAGGCGGGACCTCCTAGTTTAACGTCCGTCTCCGAAAGGACCTAGCCAAAATAGGAAATTCGTACAAAGTGCCTTTCCCAAGGACACGACGTCGGACCCAGCTGACGCTCGAACTCTCGAACCCGCAATCTCACGATAACGAGTCCGGTAGCCTAACCACAAGGCTACTGGCGCCACTCCACCTGTCAAAGACATCACCTGTACAAATGACCACTTCCTATTTCCCTATACCGTTCTTTTTTTTTATATTGCAATGACATCGTGTGAGATGTTCCCCTGTATAAGACGGTAATGGTTGGCCCGCTTAGACAATTTTGACTGTACACACACACACACACACACACACAAACACACACACACACAAACACACACACACACACACACAAACACACACTCACAAACACACACACACACACACACACAAACACACACACACACAAACACACACACACACACTCGCGCGCACACACATACACACATATACACACTAACACGCACACTCATACATTTACACACATACGCACAGATACACACAAAAATGTACTCACAAATACAAATACGCCTACGCACATGTATTATATGGCTGTGACAGTAACACAAGTTTGAAAAAAATGGCCAACCGATGTAACTTTAGTAAAGTCGGGTGAGCCTTAGAACAGAAAAACATGACTTTAAATTACTCTTCTACCCCCTTCCCCCTCTCCACATTTGTTTGGCTTTTATTTAAACCCCACACACAGGTTATGGGCCAAGCGGGTCTTCCAAGTCCGAAGGTGCCAGTAGCGGCCATACGAGCCAGGAAAAAG